CAAAGAGAAATGGTCCAACGAATGAACGCTCACGAATGCGATTGCTAACCCATCATACAGTACGGAGTATCCGTACACTCCAGACCATTGGTTGTCTTTCCTCGGCCAATCATCTATTGCCCTACTCATCCCCGGATTCCTTCACATGCCGAGGTTTTACGGCTCTAGTGACGATCAAGACTTAGCGTAGATGCCTCGAGATGTCAGTACGCAACCCATACGGCGCCCGCGGTGAACCGATAAAACCAAGAGCGGATCATGCGGAGTAACAACCACGTCCGCTTTGACTTCATCTTCAACTTCATGCCCGACAAAGCCTTCTTTCGGAGCCGGCATGCTCCGCCCACCGTGCCGAGACTTCGGCCCCGCATTCCTTCCGGCTCCGTTTCAGGATTCAGTGCAAGAGGGTACGGCAAGATTCTGTTAATTGTTGTTTCATCAAACTATATACAAGGAAAGTCATGAGTGACATCGCCCGCTTCCTTATCCTTCAAACTGTGCGCACTCGGTAGCATTGCCCTGTGTGCAGAACGGCATCTGGATTGGCGAGGCACTTACACCACGAGCTACCATGCGCTCGCGCAGCTCAGCCAGTCGAGGTGCAGCGTCGTACTGCGATCTGTTCTGACCTGAGGCGTCGGTTCGGCCTGACCAGAGAACCTCGCCCATAACAGCGGCGCGGGGCCAGACGATAGTGTCAAGGTTGACGCTGTCGATGGTTTCTGTCCATACCGCCGCCTCACCGCCAAGGACAAGCTTGGCAGCCTCCTCAGACAGACCGGCACGAGGGTCGTGTGAGTAGATGAGCCGCCAGCTCTTGGTGGGGCCGCACCAGTCGTTGAACGGGTAGTAGGTCTTGAAAGCTTCGCCATTATCAAAGTTGAGCCATTGTCCACGACCACAATCAAGATACTTCGGTTATCAGTCAGCAAAAGTCACGTTTTCAAGGACACTGAATTGTCACTCACCCAGAAGTTATAATCGCTGTCAATGACCTTGTGACCAGCCTCAGCCATGGCCTTGACAGCGCCGTTGCCGAGCCACGACTGAATCACAACATCCTTGCCGAGTGTCATATTCCACTCAGTAATCATCTCCTCCCAAACAAACGGGGTCAAACCAGCGTCACGAATCCTGCCGTGAGTGTAATCGACAAACTTCTGCAAGAGAGGTGCCAGAACTTCAGTCTTGTTGGAGCGCACACCCGGGTCGAGCATGGAGTCGTTGTGGTTGAGCTCATCGCCGCCAGCGTGGAAATATGCGCTGTATGGTGAGATGCGAGGGAAGAGATCCTCAAACAAGGTGTCGAGGAAGTCATATACGTCAGTACTGTTCATCCGGAACGCACCACAGGGCGGTTCCTTACACCACCACTGATATGGCTTCTCGTTATATGCAACAATGAGATCCTTGTACGCAAGCTCAACCACACCAATGTGGCCAGGCATGTCAATCTCCATGATCACCTCGACTCCACGGTGGATACCATACTCGTAAATTCCGGCCAGGTCCTCGGGAGAGTAGGTGAGGCCTTTACGGTATGCTCCCTTCTCTGCCAGCTTGGGCAGAGCGGGAATTTCAAGAGGCCAAGACTGCGAGTCGGTTATGTGAAGGTGAAGGCGATTCAGCTTGCTCCAGGACATGGCATCGATGGTGCGCTTAATGTGTTCAACCTCGAAGAAACTACGGGCAACGTCAAGCAGAATACCGCGATGGGGATACTCGGGCGAATCCTGGATGGTGACAGGCGCGTGCGGCGTGTACCATGAAGTGCCGGAGCTGTGCTTGAAGAAGAGCTGCAAGAATGTCTCGAGTCCGTGCAGAATACCCGTGGAAGACTTGGCCTTGATAGAAGCCTCACCCTTTTCAGAAAGTGTGAGCGAATACGACTCATCAACCTCGCCAGCGAGAGGTTTGAAAGTGCTCTTGTCATCCTCCTCGGTTTGGACAATCTTGAGTGACTTCACCCACTGCTTCTTCTGCAGATCCGGCTCAAAATCCGAGTTGCGCTCACGAAGCTTCCATGGCACAAAGTTGTCGTTGAAGATGGCCTGAAGAGCACGTGACACACCGGCCTGAACGATCTGCTTGCTGCTGAACTTGGAACCGGCATCAGGCTGGTAGTTGTAAGTGTAGGGCATCTGTTTTTCAAGCAAGGTCTCAGTATCAAGTTGCGCGGAGTGGTTACAGGAATCAAAAACAGAACCAGGGGGTGTCCAGCATACAAAGTCTCCATTGTAGGTGATATCGATGCTTTGATCGATGAAGAGCACCTTGTCTCCCGTTGAGATCTTCTTGGGCACTGGCCATATGGCGTCGACGGGAGTGAGGGCGAAGGCGGCGATGGCCAGGAGAGCCTTGGCCTTGGACCACATATCGCCGATGTTTTTATTATTATACGATGAGAAATGAGAGGTGCAGAGTAAAGATGTGAATTGGGTGAGAGGACAAGTGCTTATGTACTGTATAAAGAAAGGGATGTATGATTTTGGGTGGATATGAATAGTATGGAGGATTTTAAGCGCCAGGCCCCGTTTAATAAGACTGGCGATGATCCCCCAGCTCCGCCTCGTCTGGTATAAAGGTAGTGAGTGGTGATCCCTAGCCTGGCTGGAGCTGGAGATGGAGCTGGAGCTGGGTTGGCTGGGCGGGGTTGAATTATTTATCTCCCGACAAAGGCTGATTCGATGGGATGGCGTCGAGCTTGTTTTCGATATACATGCGGCTGCAGGTAACTGCACTGCTAATCCAATCCAATCCAATCCAATCCAATCCGATAGCTCGATGTTGCTATCCGTCCAGGGCCTACAGTACAGTAGCTGGAGCTGCAGGGAGGAGAGGTGAGGAAGGGTATGACAGACAACCTTGAAGTGCGCGCAACGTTACGTTACACTACCACCCGAGATTTCCAGCGGTTGCTGTTTGCAGATGGTCTGGCTGTGGCCTTTTGTGCTGGCTGCACCAGAGAGAAAAAAGAAGCCAGTAAGTTAACTGATGGTGTATCCAACGGTCGGAGACAGGAATGGATGGATTGGTTTCAAGGATTCGATTCAATACGTCAAAGGCAAGGTTGGGTAAGTGGGATCTTCAACACGCGTTGCAACCCCCAGCCGAGTTCCGGTCAGTAGAGTAGCTGCCGTATGGTAGTCGACTATCTGCCTCAGGGCCTTAGGACACGGCACTTGAGGGGCTTGCAGTGGTGAGACAATAATGCCCGCATATGATTGACTCGATGGTCAGCCAGTTGCTATATTTGCGACAGTAGCAGGGCTGAGCCCGACAATGAAAAGGATCAGGATGAGGATACGTAGTGAGATAGATGAGAACCAGTCAGCAAGTAGCGGCAGTGGTACAGCCCCTCAGCACCAGGGGAACTATGGCAGCTTGATTCGTAGAGAGGGGACGAGGCTGGTTCTTTGCTGCGCTCAAGCTTCATGTTACATCAGCTGCTCACACTGCGTCTGCAGAGAGATGATTGTGGTCTGGAATCTCAGGTTTTGACGACCCATAGTTAGCATGATTGATGCTCTGCATCTTCCTGGTTAGATGGGGCTCTCGATGCAGTAAGCTTGTTGCTGTCGTATATTCTCGTTCACGTAGCAAGCTGCTAAGCTACTATTACTATGTAAAAAAAAAAAATTGCTAGAAACAATACTTGATAACACCAGACGATATCTTGACTACGTGTACTCCGTATACCGACTATGTACTCCGTAGGCGGGCTTCAAATACTTTCCTTGAGTCGTAGGTACATATGGGTGGCGACATGTTCCATGTCTCAGCCATCTCCAACCCCTCCAATTTACCTCCATACTACCTACTAACCTCCGGTTGGCAGGCTGGGTTAGTTCCTAGACTGGTAGACTCGCCCGGGGAAAGCTCCAAAAGCTACCACCTGACATCAATCAAGACATCCAAAAACTACATGTAACAAAGCAATTGATGAACTTGGAAAGAGGAGAAATGTAACCTTGGGTGGTAATGAACGTTGACGTTGACATCGACATCTAAACTGCTAGCCAGCACCGTTCTTTAGCCCCAAAACCTCGCTAGTTACCTAGTTACCTATCCAAGGAATTGGATACCGGGGCATGTTCTCAGTCTACGAGGAAACAAGCTTGAGTACCTAGGTACCTAGTACGAAGAAACAAAACGTCATTTTTAGATACTCTCAGATGACTGAGCAAAGAGATAGGTATGTTCATAATGATTCCATAAATAGCTTCGTCTTCATGGAGGAGGGAAGAAAGAAGTATACCCTAGCGTCCGAACAGCAACCAACATTTCCGTGTAAAAGCTGACAGTTGATGTTTATAAAATACAATAAAGAGAGTTTCATTGCAAATGCCACAAAGGCATGACTAATCGCATGTACTTCTTAGTCGTTGGCCACCGAAGCTTCTGGTCCGTGATAGATAGTGAGTGTATCATCTTTTTTCCCCCCTGTTCGTGAATGAAAGAGCCTCTTTGCTTGCTTAGCGATAGACAACAGTACAAACAGTAGCACTGTTCACTGCGACAGCTCATCCGTGAATGGACAACTGGAAGGCTGTCAGTTGTGCTAACTTTATTACAAAGAGAACAAAGTCACACTTGCATGAACCACGGAACAATGACTGATCGGCCCCATCACGTGACTCCACTGGCGCGGACCCATTCTTGACGACTTCTGCGTCCCTTAAGCAGACCTTTGCCAACTTCATCTCTATCTTGAATCAACCAAAACCTCGCTCCATTGCTGATTCGTACGACGTCGCAACATCACCAGATCACCCCTCATCTAGCGACTCGACGTCTGCGCTCTTTACTACATTGCGACCAGGAACTAGCTCACGCGACGCGATTTATTTTACTCTACGTATTCCAAAAGACGCGTCCCTGACTCAAAGCTTCGCCTCCGATCCAACTTCACGGCGAATTCTTCCGCCACCAAAACTCACCTCAACCTCACCACCTAAAATACTCACCCCACCCCGACTACGACTGCGCACTCATTCATCATGCCCGTCGAAGTCAGCCTCAACACGCCCCTGGCCGAGGCTCTCAATGCCGCCATCCAGCCCAAACTCGTCGAGGTTGGATGGGGAACTGGCGGTGCCGATGACTCCGCCCTAGCAGAGTATATTATACTCATGCTTGTGAACGGGAAGTCTCAGGACGAAATCGCCGCCGAACTCTCGGGAGATCTACTTGGCCTTGGCTCGGACGACCCCAGCACTCGCAACTTCTCTCAGTGGCTCTTTGAACAGATCGATGCTCTAAATGCTCAGTTTAACGGCGGGGGCAATGCAGCGCCTGGTTCAAGTCAAGACGCGACAACAGAAGGCGATGTGGATACAGACATGAATGCTGGTGATGTGTCAGAATTGAATGCGTATGCCAACCCCATCATATTACTTCGTATCACCAAATCACTGACTTCTACTAGACCTACCGGCCCACGCTCAATGCGAAACGGTAACCAGCGCGGGGGACGTGATAAGCGCATGTTCGGACAGATGAACAAAGCCATGGACCGAGCTGGCGATTCTGCACTTCACCGTGTTAGAGGCCAAACAGGAAGCGAACGTATCAACACTCATGGCCGTACACCGCCAAATGGGCCCAGAACAGGCCGCGGTGGAATTGGGCGACACAACAACCGCACTGCTAACCTTCAGGCTGGTCTCGCTAATATGGCTGCTGGCGGTCCTCAGGCGCAGTGGATGATGCAAGGTGGCCAGCCTAACTCGGCCGAGTTCGCCGCTATTCTGGAACAACAGAGCCAGATGATGCTTCAAATGCAACAGATCATGAGTGGTGGTGGATTTCAGGGTCCATATGGACATCAACGCCGTGGAGGAAAGTCTCTATTTGACCGAACGCAACACCCCGGCAGAGGTAACTACCGCAAGGGTTTCAACGACCGACAGAGCGGCAATAATGCTGGTTTCGAGGGCGAGGGCGAGGATGTCGACATGTCCGGCGAGAAACGTGAGCAACTGAACCCGGACGAGACGGTTTGCAAGTACAACTTGAGATGTACCAACAAGGACTGCAAGTTTGCCCACCAGTCACCCGCCGCCCCTCAGGGAACATCGGTCGATGTAAACGATAACTGTAGTTTCGGAGCTGCGTGCAAGAACCGAAAATGCGTCGCGCGGCATCCTTCACCAGCGGCCCGTCTGGCCCACCAGAGCGAACTAGACTGCAAGTTCTTCCCCAACTGCCAAAATCCTCAGTGCCCTTTCAAGCACCCATCAATGCCTCTCTGTCGAAACGGCGCTGGCTGCACAAATGCCGACTGCAAATTCACTCACGTCAAGACCAAGTGCAGGTTCAACCCTTGCCTCAACCCGAGCTGCGCTTTTGCGCACGAGGAAGGTCAGCAAGGTGGCTTTAAGGACAAGGTCTGGACCGCTGGTGAAAGCACAGAGCACCCCAGTGAGAGAAAGTTTGTGGATGACCAAGCTCCTGAAGAGCTCATCAAGGGGGAGGAGACCGATGTTAAGCAGGAGACTGATGTCATTGGTTAAATGAGAATGAGAGGAGGAAAAGGGAGATAGATTGGTCGAAAAGAGATCACGATACCCATGGTCAAAGTCCCTAGAAGCCCAGGGACGGGAAATATGCGGCCTTGATGAACAGAAAAGCTGTGAACGAAGGACATGTACTTTTACGGTTACTTTGTAATGTCTGTGGCCGATGTGGCAGAGCATGGAAGGGCGTTTGGGGGTTTGGTATTACTTGGTTGTATTTTGAAGCAGCCCAAGCCATCTTGTTTACTTTCTTATACATAGAGGCCAAGAAGAAAAAAGAGGCCAGTAGATTGCGCATCATGATGCTTCAAAGCGGTATGCGCGATGGGGAGAATGAAAACGACGGGTTTCATGGCTACTACGATGACTGTTCCCAACCACTTGTGATATTGTAATCCCGTGCTTCGCCAAAGAAGAATTTTGCAAATGGATTCAAACATCTAGAATTACCTTAACCTCAACCTGCCTTGTAGTAGATACCTATGATATTGGTAGGTAAGGTAGTCCTTTCACCGCGGTGCCCTGATGATGACGCACACGGAAGAATGCCGGCTCATGGCGCGGGACCCTTGGTTCAACACTCCACCATCTTTCGATCTTCCTCTTTCTCGTAACATACACTCATACATACTCAGCACCTCGGCCATGATCAATTGATCTCTAGCAATGAGTCGCCGTCGAGCAGAATCTACGGCTGTAGCTCTCCTGGGCTCACCAGCGAAACCTCACCTCCCACTGCCCCTCCGACGTCTTGATGCCATCCGGAGCCTCAGCACAAGCTCGGCACTGACTCGGCGACGACCCATTCTCGCGTGCAACTACACGCAGTCCTTCAACAATGGACGGAAATTTGTGTCGCAGGCGAAGGACGCGAATATCGCAGTCTTGGGAGGTGGATTGACGGGTCTCACGGCGGCATACTACCTCGCAAAGAAACTCCCCTCGACGGCCAAGATTACATTATACGAATCGAGTGATAGATTGGGAGGATGGATCAAGACAGATAGAGTACCCGTCGATGTTGAGGGGAAGAGCGGTACCGTATCTTTTGAGCGCGGTGCTCGGTCGTTGTCTTCTCTAGCTGGCAACACATTTCGCTTCGATGACCTTGTTCTCTACGATCTGGTAAGAACATTTGCTGCAGCACCAAAAGCGCACTCCGTTAACATGCCACACTCTAGGCTCTCGATCTTGGACTCGTTGTCAACTCCCCGAGGCAACAGCCACGATATATCTACTACCCAGACCATCTCGTTCCCATGCCTCCCAACGTTAGTATCTTTGATATCTTCCGTGAGCCGCTCTACCTTGAGAGCATCGGTGCCAGTCTTGGACTGGGCATCAACTCTTTGCGCAAGAGAACTCTCCCTTCCAAGGACTACTCGGTATCTGAATGGCTCTACGCCGTGAGCAACAGTCGAAAGGGCGTAGGTACCTTGGCTTCAGCCATGATGCATGGTATCTATGGCGGTGATATCAACAAGCTGAGCGCTCGCAGTGTTCTGGATCGTGTGTATTGGGGCTGGTACCTGCCAAACCCCGGCCTGTCGGCGCGCCCTATGCCTGTGGCTGAGCAGACTCTCCTCGAAACTCTAGGCCAGGACAAGCAGATTCAGAAGATGGCCCTGGAGCCAAGGAGTGCGCTGGTGGACTTTGGTGACAAGGGCATGGAGTCGCTGCCGCAAGCTCTATCTGCTGCCCTACGGGAGCAACCGAATGTCACCATAAAAACCGGCGAGGCCGTGCAAGATGTCGTTCACAATAAAACTAACCAGCAAGTTCATGTAAGATATCTTCCCCTTGTGGCCTGGTCGACGTTCCTAACAGCACATGTCAGGTTACCAGTTCCAACGCCAAGAACAAGTCCGAGCACAACTCCAAGGTATACGATAAGGTCATCTCAACGCTATCTGCACAAGATATTGCTCGTCTCACAGGAGACAAACTCCCTTCGCTCTCAACAGCACATTCCGTCTCTGTCATGACTGTCAACATCTGGTTCCCACGAGAAAATTTGAAGCCTCCCGGTTTCGGCTATCTCATCCCCAACTCCGTGGCCCCTGAGCTTAACCCTGAGCACGCTCTCGGTGTCTTTTTTGATTCTGACGTTCAGACTCGCTCAAAGGATGAGCCTGCTGGTACCAAGCTCTTCGTCCTCATGGGCGGCCACTACTACGATCGTCCTGATGTCACCCCCCCAACTGAGGAAGAGGCCATTCTCCAAGCTCGCAATCTGCTCGAGCGTCATCTCGGCATCCCGCGCGATGCTCCAGCTTATGCCACAGCCAATTTTGCTAGAGAGTGCATCCCTCAGCACTACGTTGGCCACCAAGATCGCCTGAGGGCTGCGCACACCGAGTTAACACAGAACTTTGGCGGGCGTCTTGCTGTCGCTGGTGGTTCCTTCACTCGTATTGGTGCTGTTGCTAGCCTGCGCGCCGGCTATGATGCTGCCACGGCGGCAAAGGAGGGCCTTGAAGCCACGGGCTTGGAGTATCTTAACGACATTCAGCAATTTTCTGTCGTTGCGACTTCACATATCCCTGTACGGCATTTTAAGTAGCGGGGAATAATGCATGTATATACTTTGGTGATGGGCCAAGGCCAGAGGTGTTTTAGAACGGAAAGGTGAATGCATATTGGGACAAAAAGCTGTATTATTACTTGATAGGCAATAGAAAGATATAGGTTAAGCGAGATGCAATAGCACGTCAAATCATTTACAATATCATCTACCCAATCAGCAGTTTTGTTGGCTTGAACCGTAGTCAATATAATGGTATTCCGTGTTCATATAGAGGTATCATTAAGCTATCGCAAAAACACTCAACCGCTTTGTTTTAAACCCTCCAGTTCGCCGCTCGTCTAATGATGATAATAAGAAAGAAGCCCGCCCAACCATGGTTGATGGAAATTAACCTCGTCATAATATGTGCAGTGTGATTGTTTTACTCCAAGATGACCACCTCTGGGTTGTTTTGGAAAGTCGAGCCAGCCAGTGGCCGGATAGCTTCGTCGATGGCTAGAAGAAGGCCAATGATGCCATTTTCGGGTCGGCCTGCTGCTCCAGTGACAAGACCACGCCAGTCATCCCCCTTCCCATCCCAAACAGGCTTGAGTGCTGCGGAAAATTCATCGTTGGAAGAAGGCAAGCCGCTAGAGGGAATCTTCCGCTCGATATGCCACCACGGCTCACCTCGACGCTGCTTGATCTGGCCGAGGAATGTGATGCTGCGCTGTACCTGTTGGTTTCCAGGGCCAGTGCCGGCAAGGAGGTACTCAAATGACATCTCATCCGTTGAGTTCATTACAAACTTGAACCGTCCATGGCGATGGGCTTCGATGTCGGACCATGCCTCCCTGATCTTCTTGAAAGCTTCCATGGTTGGTAGGGACACAGGGAGCCAGTCCATAAGAGCTCCAATACCATTAGCACCATTGACAAGCTTTTGCATCAAATCAGTGACTGGAAGGTGAGGATTAGTCTCCTGCACCTGGATGTCAATATTATTGTTGGAGAGATCCAGTGCCACTCTCCAGAGACGCGAAGCTTCGGCGTTCTCGACCGCCTGCGATGCTGGAGGTCCATAGGAGAAAGTCACCTCCTTCAAACTCACTGACTCGGCCTTTATAAAGCCCCTCGCCTTATCCAATGATTCAAAGAAGCTGACAAACCGATCCACGGCTTTGACCCGAGCTTTCAGGTTCTCCAAGATAGAGCGTCCGATATTTGAGCGCATTCGTAAGCAAAATTCGCCCGTACGTGCTTTCCAAGAGACATCGCGACCAACCATGTGGCCCTTGAGCATGGCGAACTTGGCGGGTTTGCTGACCTTGATGATAGCATCGGAAACGCACATGAAAGCAACATCTGAGATGGGACCACCTGCACCAGAGGCTTCTTTGTCGACAGGCTCAACACCCTTAAACCTGATTGAGACGATATTGTCGGCCCATGGTTGCCTGGTTGAAATGCCCGATGTGGATGCAGTTGGCGCAACTGGTCCAAGCCTAGAGGTCTCTGGACCAGTGCTGGACTCATTTGCAGCCTTTGCATTATTCTTCTCCGCCGTGTTGGGGACCATGGATGGGAAGATGTCTGAGAGAGAGATTTCGAGGGTCGGGAGTCGGACCTGCTGGGGAAGAGACCAATTTCTTGTGTCTTTCAGTAGGAACCTGATGTTGTGCCGATAAAGCTCGTGTTGGTCCACTGCCTGAGCAATCATGCCAGTCGCGAACAGGGTTAGGTTGTTCCAGAACTCATCTTCAAGATGAGGATAGCCCTTATTGAGAGGAAGCTTCGATGACAAGCGATTCGACTGTCCATTTGCGTTTCGGCTGCTGTCAAACATGTTAGTGCATTGCAAACACAACTATTGGTACTTTATCCCAACTTACACATCAACAAGCCACCACGCATCCCCGCTCGGACTCAGCATGACCATAACGAACCAGTTTGGGTCCCAGCCAGTTCTCTGAAGCCAAATCGTTTTGGTCCATTCGCGGGTATTGGTCAAAGATCTCAACTCATCCTTGCTCAAAGGACTCTTCTTGGTAGTCCAGCCTGTCGTACTTCCGCGGCGAATAAGCTCATCTTCCATGACTCCACATCTCACATTCTCCAAGCAAGCTGCGCCGTCATCCGCCGGATTCTTTCCGTTATTTAATGAATGTTCATGTTGGATGGTGAACTTCGAATGAGGCTTGACAGCGAAAACACCAGTTGTTGGCTCCACAAGCAGGGATGCGCTATCTTTGTAACCGACCTGCATACTTAAGAATGAAGTCGCGGGATCATCGTGAGAGATGTTCAAAATCATAGCAGCATCTCGATTTTGGAAACGAGGGAAGGCCTGCAATCTGCTGTGTATGCTGCCCAAAAGGAATTCAACATGCCGGCCAATAACCGTCTTCAGAAGGGTCTCGGCTGATAAGTTGTCCGCGTCGAAAGAGATATTCGTGTCCTTCACCTCCTTATTGTCTCGATACCATTTCGC